TGAAAAGTTAAAATGGAGGTCCTGTCATGACTGCCTCTGAAAATATTTGTAATTAAAAACCCTTAAAATACAGTGGTAGAAATTCATAGGGATTCGTTGTGTGAAGGGAGCAGTGAGTGTATGCATATATCTTTGTGGGTGCACACACTGCGTGTATGGTCATGTTCAGTTGAGACTATAAGTCAACTTCAGGTGTCTTCCATATTGATTTTTGTTGTACCTGTTCACCCTCAGATGAGATGGTTCAGACCATAAGCCCCAGAGATTCTTCTATTTTCACATCCCTACCCACAGGACTGACATGCCCAGTTTTTTCCCTGGGTGGAGGGTTTCCTGCTTATGTGGAAAACAGTTTACCCAACGGAGCTGTCTTACCCAATTCCATTCATTTAACTTTTTTATACTGAATTTTATACTGAATAGTCTTGGGATATAAAATTGATCAGGGCCATTCAGGTGTTTATACCAGACAGGACAATTCGGGTTTTTATCCCATGCATATTAAATATTCAAATGTGATCAGAAAACACAGGTAAGTTTGGTGACTCAGAGATAACATTTTGCCTTTTTCTTGGAAGAGTATTATTCTCAACATAAAACTTCAAATATCATCAAAAAATCAGATATGTGCCTTGGTTCAGTTTCCTCCTATATTTCTGATGTGTCGGTCCTATGAAACTTCCCAGACATGGGGAGTAGAAAATTGAATGTATGGGAATTTAAATATGAGGATGTCTAATTTTGTTTATGAAAATGGTAGTGTGACACAGGTGTGTCTTTATGTGTTTAGGTATGTCATGCTGACGTAGATATGTTTTCCATTCTCAGTAATGCAGAAGCTGATGGCTGATACAAAATGTTGTTCACATAACTTTGTGTTAGGCATAACTTTGTGGATTTGTCTCAAGGAGCATGACAATAAGAGTTCATTCTTACTCCCCAAACAGAACTTGTGAACAAGAAAGACAAAGGTATGTATTCTGGGTACTAGTCACAAACAATGGTGTTTGCTCTGGGCCTTGCTCCTTGTTGCTTATTGTAAGTCAACTGGTGAGCTTGAGGTTGAACATGAGCATCAAAAGAATAATATTCTCAGTAAGAATTTTCAAGTAACAACAAACCCAAGAGTCTTCTCAGGGATTTTAGCAAGATTCAAATCTATATTTTAGATTTAAGAGGCACACCAGCCAAATATAAGGCCATTTTGGATTATATAAACAAACTTACTCCTCATTTTAAAATAATCGAAGAGTTTAGAATATGGACTGGATATGGGACAGTCATAAGGTTACTAATTTTGCGAGATTTGTTAATATAATAACACACCCTTGTGAAAAAATACTACATTTTGTTTTTAAAAAAAGAGAGATGATTATTTCATTTCAAAGACGAACGGATTCATGCTTTATATTACAGATAGAAAATAGTGAGTTAACTATTCTGCAAAATTATAGTAGCTACTGAGTCAGGATAATGAGGAAGTAAATAAAGGACACTCATGCTATTTTTCTGACTGAAATTTTTATAATAAATCTCTGCCTGGCTACTTCTTATGATGTTAGACAAAACATTTGTTTCTTTACATTCTTAATCCTCTCAGTAGTTAGAACACATGTAGCATTCCTTCATCGAAGGTGTGTTATAGAGATGGAGCATGATGCTGTGTTCTCTGAGGCTGGCATTGTGCTTGGTGTGCCTGCACACTCAAACACTCTGGTGCTGAATATGGGTGCAGAGTGAGGAAAGTTGTTTGACACTACCATCTAAAACACTCTCACTTGCAGACTCTTCGAGCCTCCTTTTGCGACACCCCACCCCCCAAAGTCAGCCTTGCCTTATGTTTTGTAAACTGGAAATGCACTCAGTCAAATAATAGATTTAAAGCTTAATTCTATTTGGCTACAGCTGTAATGGCATATGTGCTGTTGGATGACAGATGCCGTCGTGAGTTCATCATTGACTAAGAAGGAGCGGAGAAAAGAGAAACTTGGGTAGGAAAATATACCACAAACAATGTTCACTGGTTAACACACTTTATATTTAACAAAATAATTTTTTAATAATATATTCTTTTACACATCAAATATTGTTGCTAGAATCCCCCCCCCTTTTTTTTTTTTTTACAGTTTAATATTTACTGTTTTCTCTCTCTCTCACTAGTTTTCAGGCACACCATTTTTCAAAGGTTTTTAGAAACTGAATTAGTTTAACAGCCATCAGCTGATAAACTGGATGCTGATCCCTTATTTAAACATAGTTGAATTTAAAGCCAAGACCCAAAGGCAGAAGATAAAGGCTAACACCGAGGTGACTGTGTGGCTGCAATCAAAGCCTTCAAAAGAAGTAACAACAACAAAATGATGAGCCGAGAAGAACTCTGATGTTTCAGAGCCTTGGAAAGGATTTTTCATCGACCTGGCTCGAAAGAAGTTGTTAAATGTCTATCAGTTTATGAGAAATTCTGTCACAGTATAGGTTTGTTCCTCCCTAAAAATGGGAAAGCATTGGTGATTGGGAGTATTGAGAGAAATAATTTAGTGAAACGAAAAAAACCCAAAAGAATATACCAAACAGACAAAAGAAACCAGGCCAAACCCAACATGAACAATGACGAAAATCCCCTTCTCAAGTTTGTAATAGAGGCCATTGAATAGATGCCAGAGGTGAACTCTCTGGAGAGTCTTGATGGTTGTTATACTCTAGCCCACCGATTCCTTGCTATGAGGATCAGTGGGCTCAGACTTCAATGCAAAATTTCTATATCTTGGCTTTCAAGTGGCACATTCTTTATTTCTAATAAGGATATAGAAATTCCTTAATAATAGATGAAGGTCTATGCTACATGGCTGTATTAGTGATTTTCTTTTCAGTTTCAGATCTTATTCCTGTCATTTATAATAATAACAATAATAATAATTATTATTATTATTCATATTTCCTTTCAAGAATGTGGATTTTGGGGACTGTCAACGGCAACCTCAGGGCAAAGAAAGCTATGTAGCACAACTTTGTCTAGACACAGGCTGAAGTGTGCAATGCCTTTGCTTTTGAGTGCAGGCATAAATCATGCAGAATTGCTCATGAATGATTCATGGCTGTCTCTATGATGTATCCATAGTGGCAACTGAAAGGCACCAACCTTGCAGCAAATTGGTGTTCTAAAGGAAGGCGGCTGGATGTTCTTCCTCAGATGGCACCAGGATGGTTATTTGTATCATAACACAAGCACAGTGTGTGTGTAAAAGTGTCAGATCTGGCTCGTCAGCACATTAATTTTGGAAATGACTCTTTTTGGACGACAGATGATGCTTCCAAGGAGGAGAGGCCGACAACTTTAAGTGAGAAAACTAATTTATGAGAATAAACGGACTGGTGTCCAGAGAGTGGGTCTTAAAAGCATCACGTGATAAGGAGGAGACTGACCCCTGGAGATGCTGTTTGTGCATGATCCAAAGGGCTCAGTGGCTCAACAAAGCCACATGTGTGCAGCTGAGCTTCTTGGCATGTTGTGTGGCAGAAATGATACAGCTTCTCAGCCAGGTAAAATTTTGTTCCCTATCCATACCCCTTGGGGACTTTTGGCAATGTCTGGGGACATTTGGTTAATATAATTAGGTGGATATTCCTAAACCTAGCAGATGATATCTAGGAATGCCATTTAGCATCCTAAGAGTGTGCAGCACAGCTCCTAGCAATTTAGCTCCAGATGTCAGAGACTGAGATTGAGACATTCTTCTGTGTAATATGTTCCTCCACAGAAGCAGCATGAAACCCAGACGAGCTCTGGGGGAGGGGGGGCAGAAAACAGGAAAAAGAAAGACAACTGGAGGTGAAGAAAACTTTGAAGCTTCCTTTTCAGATCTGCACCAGGGATTCTGAGACAGATAGTAGAATAAGTGACTGGGTCATGGGATCTCAGAACTGTGAATTTGCACTTGTCTGGAGTTGGCATCAGGTACCCTGTGTGTTTCTTTCTTTCTTTTTTTTTTTTAATTATTTTTTTTCCGTTATTATACTGGCAGCATTACCAGGGCAACCTTGAGACTCTTCAAAGGTTTCATTTTAATAGTTAAGTATCTAATATATACACTAAAAATGTTCAACTAAGGAAATTGTATTGTGCAAGACTCACTCTACCCTAATCTTTAATTTACATCAGCACTTGAGGTGGAAAGTGTCCTGGATCTGCATTTTAGATTGAGGGCTGAGTGGTTGTTACGGTAACATGGTAAACACAGTCCCAAACCATAAAAACTGCTGTGTATAGGACTGGCTTTCAGCCAAATTGAAAGTTAGAAGTGTTTAGAAAGTTTGGTTCACAGTGGGGCTACTCACCCTGGTTCTGGTATTTATATTGCCTGGTGACAAGGTGGACTTTATGGTTATGTTTAATTATAAACCAGTCTCAAAGCTGGTATCATGAAGAAGTCTGGTGATTTAAATGCTAGAGTTTTAAATGCCTGTGTCTTTGAATTCTTCAGTCAACTCATGGCGTTCTTTCTCTACTTGTTTCTGATTGGCAGTTTCAAAGTTTTATGTATGAAATGTGTGGTTTGTAAGAGTCAACAGTGATCCCAACATATTGGTCTGCACAGGAGCCAGTTTACTACTGTGTTTCTTAGCCTACAGACATGATAACTGCTGCCAGGAGAGCCACGGCTTGGTCACTCTTTTGTCCCCCACCCCACCCCGGAAGGATATTCCCACCAAAGTTTCTTTATCCAACACTTCTGACGCAACATAAAACTTTACTGTGCAGTCAAATCTGACCCCTTTAGATTCCAAATGTAGAAAACACACAAGAGAAAAGTGTAGTATGCACAGCCGAGTAAAAATGGAATAAATCAGGGGACATGAACTGGCAGGTCAGAGGCATCACCTGGGAAGGAGCCTGTGCAAGGCTGTTTTCTTTCTTTCTTGTCCCAGAAATCTTGGTCATCAAGTCACCATCAAGCATTGGTCATTACAAAAGTGGTTTAGATAGCTGTTTGCTATGCGTATTTTATATAGCAAGAGAAAGAGAGAGAATTTTCCTCTTGGTAAAATGATCACTTTTGTCAACCCCAGAAGGTTTTGCTGGTGACCCTGTTGTAGCTGGCAGCAGTTAGTTTGCTCATTTTGATGAGTGTTAAACATGTGCCCTGTAGAAGCCATAGCATCCCTTCCTAGAACTTGTCATCATTCGGGAATATGCCCTACACAGGCTGCTTGCCTTGGCATTCGCGCTTTGAGCATTGAGCGGGTTTCCACCAGTCCCCGTTGTGACAATGACAGATGTTACAGTCGTCCACTTTCACTTCAATGCCAGCTGGAATGATTGTAGTTCCTGCAAAGCAGTTTGGACCTGGAACACACACACGCATTGGTTAGTGCATAAAATCTGGGAGCCTCCCCTCCACCCTCTCCTGTTCTTTCCCAAGACCTCCAAATCATGACTGAGAAGGCCAGACTGGGCCAACAGCATGTCATCAAGCAGTTTTCTAGTCAGTCTCTTCAGATCCAAACTTTTAACCCCATGACCTTTAGCATACATCTCATATTTGCTATGTATATCAAAGTGAGAGGGACAGAGACACAGAGACAGACAGGGCTTATGGCTTACTGAGTCCATTATGGATTAAACTTTATTTGCTTTGCCCTCTGGGTGTAAAAGTGGCAACGTCCCCCATGAATGGAGGATTGGCACAGTTGGCCTCACATGACAGTACCTATGGCAAGGGTCCTCTCCCTTCCTGTGGAGGGTGTGAGATTATGAATTTGCTCACTCCCCAGTTCCTGCCTGGTTCCTGGAATCCCCAGCTTGTTTCTTGATAATAATGAATAATTCATGGTTGGATGATTTATTCATGTCCCCAAACAAGCTTTGTTAGAGGTTCATTTGATTTTTATAAATGGAGTTCCTTTAATCTGCTGGCTATCTTTTTTTTTTTTTTTTTAAGGAGTAAGCCAAATGGTCAGCTTTTGAAAGTCATCATAAATTTTATTTTAATCTTTCAGATTCTAAAAAGCTATACAGCAGATGACCCCTGCTTACTCTATATGGATTGTGTGTATGTTTAATGAACAATTCTCATGTTTTTTCTTTTAGCCCTTCTCATATAAGGATGTTAATATTGGAAGTTATTTCCAAGGTTGAAACTGTATAAAAATGTCTTTGCAAGGCATGGTGGATGGCAGAGGAATGGTGCAAATTATTGGCTTTTAGGAGTTATTTTGATGATAAGTCTATGAAGAACACATTTGGGTAAAGAAGGGAATGCTGGGTTGTGTCCAGTAATGATTTGTTAAGCCATTGTTTTTTGGCTACTTGCCATAATCACTAACTACATGGCAATCTGGTGACATGTCACTGTCTATGGCCTGCTTTTACTTTCTCAACAGTTGTTCAGAATTTATAAGACTTTCTCTACTGCCAAACAATGAAATCAGAGGCTATTTGTAGTGCCAGTTCATTAGTGGAGGCTTCCCTTTACAGACATTATAACTACTGAGTTATGATGTATAGTTGGTAAGGAACAACGAGCATGCCACAGCTTTAAGACCCTTTCTTTTAGAACTTCTCCCTGTGTAACTCCACCAACTGTATTTGTGTTCATATACCTTTCCTTCACTCTGCTACAAGCATCTAGAGTCTATGGCTGAACATGGGGGACTCTCAAGAGCAGGAGTGATGGATCAGCTCAACTCTGATGATAATTGAGTATCTCACGATTTCCACCCTGCATCTACAAGGCTTTTTCTTGTTCTGATTCTTGATAAGTCCTTGGCCATCTTGAATATTTCACAATATTAAGTGCATTTATCTGAAGGTTGAAGGAATTAATTGATAGAGCATACTACTTGTGTAACTACAGTTCTGTGGGGCAATTTAACACCAAACCATGAGTTTTTTTCTGAACCTAGATCTGAGGGGTCTTTGGAAAACTTGGCAGGAAATGTGTCCCATAGTGTAGCTTGTTGTCTCATGCTGTTGCTCAGAGCTGTCTCCTGACAAACACCTGTCAGCCCAACCAATTTTAGGCCAGATAGGGTCTTGTTGGGGCTCAAGTAGCTTTAGAAACAGCACTAGACTTGGCCTACACTGTCTGCCTAGAGTCAGCACAGAAGATTAGTGTTTACTCCCTGTCCCCCACATGCACACAGAACCAAGACTTTCATTTTCAGCATGTAATTTTAGCTTTTCCAGTAGGGGAAAGATAGCATTTTATTTTTAAATCATGGTTTAAAAAACTAAGATGTGCAGTCAACAGACAGACTACTAACTAGTAGGAATTTTCACTACTTTTTTAGAGGATTTGGAAATGTGATGGAAGATGCATATGTCCCCCACACCACTGTGTGTGTGTGTGTGTGTGTGTGTGTGTGTGTGTGTGTGTGTGTGTGTGTACTAGTAGATGTGCTGCTATCTCTCAGAATGCTGGAAAAATTAACTGACACGATAACAGAAGGCAGTAGAATGTATGAAAAGAGACTCCTTGCAAGTTGCTCTGTATATCTGGAAGGGATATTTTACTAGAGCTTTGTTTTTGTATTTTCTTCTTGTTGCCTGTGTTGGTAGCATGCTGTGGTCAGCATGCATTTGATTAACCTCTATCTATCATTTCTTAAGTGTCACTTAGAATTTGCTGCACTTTCAGCCCAAGAAATATTAATTCTGTTGATGGATTGAACACAAATGAAAGATCCTTTGCAGGTGCCAAGACTGGCCAAAGCCATTGCCTGTGAATGACACAGTAAGAGATCAGCTGTCTACCTGATAGCCAGAGGAATTTTACCAAATCCAGTATTCTTGTTTGGTTTCCTTGACTTTTGCACTTCAGAGGTCATATTGGTCTTGTTCTGATTATCTCATATGTAACCACAGCAAGTCTTCAGTTTGCTGTTAAAAGTCCTATACTTAAAAGCAATTTAAATAATTGTGAATAGAGTGGTTGGAACTATTTAAAAACTGTTCTGGTTTTAGCCCTCCCCATAATACTGCTGACTATGAGAGCTAATTCTCTTTGAGCATGTGAATGTTCTCCATGAGTCCCTTACTTAGGCAATCATCCTTACTTCTACCTACCATCCTCCTATTTAGAGGTTGCTTTCATTTTTTTCTTTGTCTATATGAAGGGATAAATTGCTCTGAAGCCTGAACTCAATGACAAAGAAACACATTGGAATGTAGAGGACTTGGAGAAGCTCCAGAGGGGAGCGGTGAAAAAGATTAAACTGAAGGCTAGCAGATAGGACCTCCAAGGGAACATTGAAAGATTGGAATCATTTAATGCAGAAGGGCAAGAGAGAGGAAGGAGTAGCCCAATAATTCTCAGAGAGTAGTGGCTTAAGAAACAAAAGGTGCCCAACTCGACACTCATTCTACAATCTAGACTAAGAGACAGGAAAGATACTCTCTCTCTCTCTCTCACTCTCTCTCTCTCTCTCTCTCTCTCTCTCTCTCTGTGTGTGTGTGTGTCCTCAAAGAACTAATTCTTGAATGTGAATGTGTGCTGAGATTTTTTTCTCTCAGAGATATTTAAAATGTGTAAGCTCTTACCTCAGGTATGGGTTACACTGTCAGCCCCTTGAAGGCAAGAACTGAATATCTGTTTTTTAGGGTCTAGGGATGATACTGTGTCTAGCAGATATTAAAAACTCAATATGTAGCTTATTTAGCTGAAGGGAATAGGATGAATTAGCTAGTTTTGTGTTTGTCAGAGACAAACTTGTTACTGAACCTATAGATAAGCCCTTATCAGATTACCCGGACCAGAACTATAGTATAGATATATTCACTTACAGGTGGAAACATGTGGTATTCATTTGTTGAACACTTACTTTATGCCAGAACTTCTCTTGTATTGCTTTTTCAATAATCTATAGAAGGTACAAGCTTTTTCTCTCCTGATATTGAGCCTCAGAGATGGAAAATGACTGCCAGAGGTTACATGCCCAGAATGTGCTATCACTGAGATATGAATTAAAATCTCTATCGCCTACAAGAGGTTTCTAGTTACACAGAAAAAGAAATAGTGTTCTAGAAGTGTACTGTCACTTTTTTTGGCCCAGATCCTGAGCTTCCGACCAAAATGTAGAAGTGTAGTAGGTTAAAGCATTTCAGATGCATACTGAAGTAGAGGATGTGATGTGGACAGCAGGAAGTGAGATTGTTTTCCTTCTGATCATTATTTGTACTGGTTTTGTGTTGTGTATTTAGATAGTTTCTTAAAAAGCATAATTTGTTCAAAAACTAAAGGAATTTTTCCATGGAGAAGATGTATGGACCATGGGGCTTTTCTCAAGGTAGCAGTGAAGTTTCCTCTGGTGCTGTGTGCACAGTGGGAAGAAACACATTGAAAATGGTTTAGGACAAGGAGCATGAACTTAGACAAATACTTTGTTACCCAGATACAAATGGGAGATCCATGTGAGTGCTTGTTTGGTTTTTCAGTAGCATTTGGCCAACCCTCTCCATGTTTTTATATATCTAGTTACAATTTATCGGATGGATTAAACTGCATGTAATTTAGCTGAGCACCAGTTATTAAACACTGGATGTCAAAGAAATTGCCGCATCTCTGCACAATAAAACTTTCTTAGTTGTTTTATTTAAAAAAAAAAAAAAAAGGACCTCAACAATTTGGAAATGTGATGAAGTTGGAAATTATAAACTTTGCTTCGACTTGGAGCTAGGAGGGAAGAAGGAAATGTGAGAGGTGTTGAAACCAGGAGACATTTCCCCTGTGAGATCCACGAATAATCTCCCCCCCCCATTCTGTACTTCCTCGATTACTTATTTTGCATATCTATGAAACAAAAATCAGCTTGATTTTTTTCACAGCCAAAGTCATTCAAGAGAAATCTAATAAAGAAGAGAGAGATCAACTGTGAAAGTGGTAACTCTCCAAAGGTACGATGGAGGCAAGCCCAGAACTCTATCTTTGGCCAACACTTCCTCCCATCCTCCCATCCTGCCTTCCCAGCTTCACCGAGGTGCCACGAGACACATGTACAGAATATCTTGTGATCAGAGAAAAAAACATTTGGAATGGTTTCTCCTGGCTCTGATAATACAAGGTTGTAAGAAAGCCAGCAGAATATAGAATGATTCCTGACATATTTGTGGTTATATGGACCAGGAGGATCTACTCAGACACTCAATCTTTTTGATGATCCCCCAAATTTCCCTTACAAAAGACTGAATAGGAGCAATGGGGATGAGAGGAGTTAAGAGCTAGTCTGGTCTCACTGATAGACGGCTATGCTTGCTTGCAATGTTAAACACCATGCAATGGTATTAAGCCACAAATATATAACCTGACTAAGTGCTCTGAAGGAAAGCACAGACAGCTGTGAGATGTA